TTTTCGCCTAATAAATTTTAAGTTTTCTATGTAAAATTATACTAAAAGAGTGCAAAATAAAAAAGCTAAACTTTTTTATGCCGTTTCAAAAAAAATTTTAGTTTATTTTTGCATAAAGAAAATCTATAAAATTATTGTAAGCAGGAAAAAAAGTTGAAAATTTTTGGCATTTTTTTTCTAGCAGGCGTGACAAATGCCATTTTCAAATTTACTACATATTTACTTTCTTCTTAATATTCATCATGTATAAATGAGATATTACAAAACTTTTAAGAATCCTTTTACATACTTATCTTTTCTAAAGGGTTAAAAACTGAAGAAAGAGAAAGAAAAAACTATTTAAGTAAACGTAAAATTTTTCAATGTTTTTCATATTTTCGACTTTTAGAACATAACTTAATTTAAATTTTTTTAATTTTGATGAATTGCAGCATAGTTAAGCTTTAATAAAAATTATTAAAATATTTCTTTTTGAGATAATTTTATTTGAAACTTACATTTAGTTGACCTTCTCTCTCCTTACCGTTTCATTTGAACTTTAATAACCATGGAGAAAACTTTGTATTTTATGTTAAAATAATTGAATATTTTACAAATGTATTTATTCATAATTAAAATAAAAATTCAAAACATTCCCCTTTATTTTCCAACAAAAACACAAAAAAAATCCTTTTTGTTTTTTTCTTTCTTTTGCATTTTATTTTCAGACTGTATAAATAATAAGGCTGAATTGGTAAAACATATTTCAGTTGTTTCGCTAAACAAACTAAAAAAAATTGTTTGCATTAATTTACATTTTTTACATTTCAATTCGCATAAAATTTTCCAAAGACGGGGAAGTAAAGACTTCACTCAACTCACAGCAATGAAAGATCTGACATGCCAGGAAAAAGTTAAAATGATGTATTAAACAAACAAAAAAAGGCTGCAAAACAAACAACAAGAAATGAACAAACCAAGTTAAAAAGTCTTAAGATTGTTAACATTGTATGAGTATTTGTTGCTGTTGTTAAAAAAAGTTAGTTAGTTTTTTTTGTGAGTTTTTATTGCGTAAATATTTAAACGTTTTTACAGCTGCATTCATGCAACATGCTTCTTAAATGAATAAATGTTGGCATGTTTTGTTTGAATGGTCTTGCTCGTACTATTTACCTCCAAGATGGGGTTAGTTTTTATTTGAGTGTACTTGTCGCTGAACACAACAATCTTAAGCAAGTCCAGAAAAAAAATAAATACAAATAAATAAAATGGAAAAGGTATTTTTGCCATAACTAAATGTTTAATAAAGACTTTTTGTTGGTATTACAGTGCATATTGGCGGTTTTATATCACCAGTTTAGTTCAGTTTGTTTTATTTGAAATGAAAACGTAGCAACAAAAACAAAAAAAAAAATAATGAAGGAAAAAAATGTTTAACAAAAATGGCGTTTTTTGCCAATTAACTTGAAGAATGTCTTGTTGCATAAATTTAGCTTAATTGGGTGCCACTTGTTTCACAAAGATATAAAATGTTTGCCGTTGTTGCTGCCTGTTTGGCTCAAAATTTATTATTTAATGCATTTGAACAACAAGTTTTTCCTTTTTCATTCTGTTAAGTACGTTTCTTTTGGTTAGTTAACACAAAAACCAAATACCAAAAAAAAAACCTAAATTGAATTGGTATCCTTTTTTGCTCAAACTCATTTTGGCCATTTCGTAATGTAACAACAACAAACAAACTTAACAAAATAAAAAATACAACATTATCTTTTAAAATCTAATTTTTGAAATAAAAGTCACGTTCTACTCATTCACCATAAATGGTTAAAAAAACAACAACAACAACACCATCGTATCAAATTTTATCACAAGGGAGCTGTCAGTGGCTGTTGATGCTGCCGTTGCAACTTAAGGTTTTAGTTGCAATGGCGGCGACAGTTCAGTTCAGTTAAGATCATTCATTTTATTTGTTGATTTTTTGATTAAAAATCTTCTTTTTTCAGTTTTCGTTTTATACTCATTTATTAAGAATTTCTTGAGCCTATAAATTATAAAAAATTATTTCGAATTGTAGTTTTTTTTTTTTTGTTTTTATAGAAAAACGTATTTCTCACAAAATTAAATTGAAAATAATTCTTTTTAATAAAAAGAGCTATATAGTTTGTACGTATGTATGTATAAAGTTTGTATTTTATATAAAAAGCCTACACGTGCATGTGTTGTTATTGCGGTCCATGTTTTTGTTTATTCTGAAAACCGCCATATAACAACCATGATGAGATTTTAGCTGTTGTTGTTATAGATGTTGTTGTAAATTTAAGCAATGTCATAAATAAGCATTTTTCTTGAAATGATCATCAGTTTTTTTTAACAGTGCAACATGAACCAGCACATCATCAGTACAACTACAACAACTATAACAACAAAAAGTTTGAGATTTTTCTTGTTGTATGTAGGTTGTTTCTCTTAACCCATTAACAGCTGGATGTTAACAAGTAAAATTTGACTCAAACATACATATATCTTAAATACTATTTTTGGAAACTAAGAATTTAAGCAAATTGACTTCAATCAATGATCGGTACACTCGTACAAACTCGAGTAAAAAAAGTTTGTACAAACAATAAATAATAATTACTATCAGCAATTGGAGCATAGATGGATCGGAGTATATTTGATTTTAAAATTTTGAAATGTCTTAATTGTAATTTTTGTATTTTTATACATTTTCTCCCGCCCCGAATGGTTTAAAAAACCTCTAAAATCATGTTCATGTTAAAGATCGAAGAGCTGTTGATACTCGTATTTGGCGAGTAAAACCATAAAAGACAAACTCAATGATGCTGTTGTAGTTTTTTTTCTGTTGCTCGCTGATGTTGTTCCTGTAACTGTTGCAATTGAACATGGTTACAGGTAAATAAAAAATCACTGCAATTTCAAAGCAAAAATAAAAAAACATTTCATTTTTATGGTCTTTCAGTTAATGTTTTTGATGCAACTCCACAACTTACTGCCGCCATAGAAGTGCAGTTCAATATGTTTAATACATAGTATAAAATGGCAGAGAAGGAGCGAAAAAAATCAAGTAAAAGACTATTATTTTAAATTGATCGTAGAAAATAAAATCGAAAAATGTTTGTTTTTAACACTAACTAAAATTAATAGCCATTGAAAAAAGAAATGGACAAACAAACACTCATACACACAATTTAATTCAAGTATTTATTATAAAAAATTTGGCCATTTTCTATATTTATAGAAATGTACATAATACATACGTTGTTTTTTAATAGGAAATTGTCTTAAGGACATTTATGGTCATTATTTAACATTTATTTTCATTATTTTATAATTTATATGGCATCTCACACTTTAATGGCTCATAAAATCTTTTGTGAATACTTTGGCAGTTAATCTCTGATTTAACATATTTATGAAGTTTAATTTGCCTCAAGAGCAATAACTCAATTTTATAATGTAGACAGACAGACAGACAATGCAAATGGAAACAAACTTTTATACATATTTACCCAGCAGTTTTATATGTTGTCAATGTTATTACAAATTTTGATGAAATGTCTAACAACTTTATAGACTCGAAGTCATATAGTTGCATACATACATATTTTGCTTATATGCTCCTTGTAATAATTGTAATAATTTGCCAATCATAGATTAAGTTTAGTAAGATTAGTAATCTGCTGTGAAGTAACTTTAAAACAATATTGTGTGTTGCACCTTAAGAAGTAGTTATTATACCTATCACAAGTAATATATTACAGTTTCAATTGTTCATTGTATTGGAAGTGCAGTGTGACTAAAATATCTGTAATGATACTCAACTTTAACCCCGAATACACATGTCGCATACATCTGTAATTACAAATGATAAAGACAAAATTCGGGACAGACACCGCGAACTGCAGGGTTCTCATGCATTCACAAAATGCATTTACAATCATCATTTACTCATACTTATGCAGAAAAACGTATGTTTTGCATACAACAATTCTGATGCAAATGTATGTATGAGTGAGTGATGTAACAGTGTTTGGGAGTAAAGTGTGAAATTTTGTTGAATTACAGATGCAATTTCACAACTTACCTTGCTATAGATACATGTATGTATGTACATATGTGGGAACGGAAGGACATTTTACTTCATGTGCATATTTGCATGCAGTCTGTTGGCTGCCAACTCCTGCAGACCAAACTCATCTTTATGTCAATTCCCCAAATCCCCACACATACATCAATACATTTTTAAATTATACAAATTTATTTTCCCCTCAAAAATGTCGGTATCTTAAATCCTTTTAAATGTATGAAATCATATTTGCCCAAATATTTAATTGTTTTCTTATGGCTAGTTTAAATAGTATATTTTGAACATAAACATGAGAATGAACTCTTTTAAAATATTGTGCATTTGTTTGTATATTTTACCATTATTTTAAATATACGAAGTTTTTCCATTCATTTGACATTATTGTTGTTATTTAAATGTTTAAAAGTTTTAAATATTTATAGACATTTATTTGCTTTTAAAATGTGCTGCTGTTGGCCTAAAGGTATTTAAGCAAATAATTTATGTTGACATGCGTAAAGTTGAAAATGCATTTATTTACAAAATAATGTGTATTTATGTACAATTTTATTAATTTATTGTTTACTCTATAATATTTATCTAGGAACGTTGTGTGTACGCATACATTGAGATAATAAATGCAAATTAACATGTACTAAATTTAAAACATTTGACCCCCGGTTACACTCTAACCGTTAAGGTAATAAATAAACTCCATTACTTGCCTAATTTTTTTTAATTTTATGCTTTTTTGCAAAATGCTAAAAGGTAGGCTTTAGTTTTTAAATTTAAGCAGAGCCTGACAGTATGCAGTACTTTTTGTGTGATATCAATACATGTCTTTTCATAATTTGCCTTTAAAAACTGTTTATTTACTTGACACAAATTGGCGTACATGTTTATTAATTTACTTATTTGTTCTTTTTTATTACAGGTACAAATGGTCTACGAAGACGTGGTCGTCAAACATACACCCGCTATCAAACACTTGAGCTAGAGAAAGAATTCCACACCAATCACTACTTAACCCGCCGACGAAGAATCGAAATGGCCCACGCTTTATGTCTGACAGAGAGACAAATAAAAATCTGGTTCCAAAATCGACGCATGAAATTGAAAAAAGAAATCCAGGCTATCAAAGAATTAAACGAACAAGAAAAACAAGCCCAAGCACAAAAAGCGGCAGCAGCAGCGGCGGTGGCAGCGCAACATTTAGGAGAATAAAATTAGGAAAAATTTATAAATTATTATTATAATTATAGTAATAATAGAGAGGATAATAATAATACTACTATTAAACATTTAACAACAACAACAACAGCAGCAGCAACTGAAATAGAAACAACAACATCAACAGCAACTACACTTCATACTTCTGTAAATGCCACACCAGCAGCAACTCCCTCGTCTTCATCATCCATACAAAATGTTGAATGTAATAATGATTTTACAGCTGAAGCAGCAACAGCGGCATCAGTAACCACAAAATTAAATTCTATAAATTATAATAATTTTTATCAGAATTATACACAACACCATTATCAGCAACAACATCATCATCATGGTAATGATCATCAACATCATCATTATGACTGGAGGAGAGACTGTCATACACCACAGATTTCAATGGACAAAATATATCACCACCATCATCATCCTCATCATCATGGCACTTCTACGACCATTAAAATCGAATGCCATCCAGGTGAAGATGATGAAGGTTTTAATGAGAAATCTGCATTTTGAAGAGCAAGTTGCTGTGCCGTGCGTTAGACGTCCTATTAAGATTCTCACAAAATTATCAAATCTTCCTGTTTCTTTTTTTAATTTAATTGTAAACAAAAGTAAAAATCTCATAAACAATTTATATTTTATATTTTTTAAATGATCTTTTAAAGAAATCTTCTCTTTTAGGTTAAAAATTAAACTAAAATTAAAAAAAAACAAAAACTTAAAAACTATACTTAAAAAACAAATAAACGTTATTAATATATAAAAAATATAAATCAACCAACCCATCTTCATTGCAATTTTTGTTTGCTTTAAATTAATTTATTATAATTTAAATAAATAAAAATAACAAAACGAAACTTAAAACATAACGTATTTTTAAGTAACAAAACAAACCTGTGCAAATTACTTTTAATTTTAAGTTTTTATTATTTTTTATTTTTTAATATATAATTTTACAAAAATAAAATGTTATAAATAATTATAAACAAATGTTTCAACATATTCCAACCACATGTTTAAAAACCAGCTACAAATGCTGCTGGGTTGTGTTACAGTGGAGGAAAATGTTGAAACACATTAAAATGATACTTTTCGTATACTGTTGATATTTAATTAATATTATTAAATAGAATTTAATTAAAATACGCGCCTTTTAGTTTGTTCGTCTTTAAGTTTGTACATTATTTTTCTTAACTCGCTTAATTAGTAGTTCTTCTTCTCACTTCTCTCCATTTATTATTATTATTTTTTTTTTTTAATTAACTTTTATGAAATTTTTGTTGTTTTTAAGTAATTGAAATTTTGTGTTAGTAACTACTTTTGTTTTATTCTTTTTTTTAAAAACCCTTTTCTCTTTAGTATTTAAGCTTAAACTTAATTAATTGAAAAATTTTAACATTTAAATTAATTTTAGTATAAAATAAATTAAAACAAACAAAAAAAAAATGCTGAGATTAAACAGAAATTCGTTTTAAATAAATTTAAAATTTTTTTAAAAAAACATAAAAAATATATAAATTTTTTTTGAAAAATTAAACAAATTCTTTGATTTTTTATTTGTTATAAATTTTTTTTAGTTATGTGTTTGTATGATTATTTTTTCCTAATTATTTGATTGATACTTTTGAATTCGATATAAAGTAATTTTCAAAGACCAAGAATTATGCAAAATTTTAATTTTTATACGTCAAAATAACTTGTTTTTCGTAGGGTTAAAGTTCGGCAACATGAATATTTTTTGCTGTTGCAATAGTGATAATGTTAATAACTCGATAATTCACTATTGTCTGATTTTTGTTGAAGATTTTTTTTTAATTTTGATTTATTTAATGTGAAATTTATTACATGATTTTTTAAAATAATTAGTTTCGTTTTAGATGAAATGTACATAAACAAAATTTTATTAATTTGAAATAGAGTCACAGATCCTTTGATCATTTATGACTCTGTGATAAATTAAATAAAGAACCCGTTCGGAAATGCATCACTACACAGCATTACCCCATTTTCTCAATGTCTTGTTATTTTTTATCTAAACGATATATTTACAGTTTTCATACAAAAATTATTTTATCGGGCAGAATATCTACCGTTTAAACGATAACTGGAGAATGAGATTGTGGCCCATAGATTGTTTGCGGTGCTAATGTAAATAAATTGATGAGCATTTTATGCCAAAACTTTTACTTTCGAAAAAAGTTCATGAAACAAATTAAAATCTCAATTTCGCGTATGCGGATAAATTGCTGTTCTGCATTTCCGAACAGGAATATCCAAAATTCGCCATATTCTGTTATTATCAAATATTATTTCCTAAAAAATAATTATGTTCTATAAATTAATTTTTTTTAGCTCTTGCCATATTTATGTTTAATGTGAATATTTTAAGGTTTTTGATAAATTTGTCTGACAATATAAGAGGAAATAGGAAATGTCCTAAATCGTTTTTCTACATAGCTGTTTCGAATTGGGGAATTATATTAATCTTTGTTTACATGGATCTTGAAGAAAAGGCCAATTATCAAAATATCAAAATTTCCTAAAGATATCAGCACTCCTACATTATTTTCACTTTTATTCTGCTGACTGACATTTGATCAAATTTATAAAAAGGGTTATAAGGTCCATTTCTGACATTAACGGAAGAAAATATTTTTAATTTTTTTGTTAAATTAAAATTTAGTTTATTGAAGCAAACATCTTACATCATTATTTAGATTTGCAGTAAAACCCAAAGTACTTAAGAATACAAACCTTGTAGTAGGATCCACCAAAATGTATACGTTTTTAAATAAAAAATAAAAATGCATAATAAAAATGATAATTATTATTTGGGTTGTTTTTGTAAAGATTGTGAAAATTCTGCAGCGTTTTTTGGTTAGAAATTTTTGCTTGAAATCTTTCGATAGGAGACTTACATATGTGTTGTTTTCAGATAACGTGCCAGTACTTTAAGTTATAATTTTACATGTTCATATTTTAGTTGCATTTACAAAGTTTTTACTCAAAGTACTCGCACATTAACAACACTTTAGTTTTAGCACTGTACTGTATTTTAGGAATTAAGGAGTCAATCACCTTTTGTCAAAATACTGTTATCAACAAAATTCTGACAACTAAATAATACTTTTTTTCATTATTTTATTTGGATTTAGGTTATAAACCACTTAAGGCTTTTACAGTTGCACAATTTGGGACAATAACTAAGAAAGTTTTGCTATCTTTTTAACATTATTTAAAAATTTTCATAAGTCAGAAATACGTTAACCAAGCAGAAATCGTCCTCCAAAAATTTCATTAAAAATTCTGAATAACCCTGTAATAAATGGTGTGGTTAATTTTCGTATATTATTTGAATTGCCATTTTTTTCATATTTATTTTTTTTCAAATCCTTAAAAAGTTACAAATAAAAAACTTAAATTTATTACAAAATATAATTAAAAATAAAATCATACAACATAATGTATACGTAAATAGGGCTTAAGACAACAAAATACAATAAAATACAAATTTTATTAAATTCTAAAATTATAAAAACAAACTTAACTTTAAAAGTAAAAAAACAAACAAAAAATGTAATTAAAATAAATACTATAAATATATGAAAAAAAAGAGTTTTAATATAAAAAAAATTATACAGACGTAAAATATTTACAAACTTTATAAGTTTAAGTATAAAATTTAATGGAAATAAGTAATAAAAATAAAACAAAAGAAATTGAAAAATATTGTGAAATGCAACAAATATACGTAAATAAAACTAATTACAAATTAAAAATTTTTATTATTAATTATAATAAAAAGATAAACAAAAAAAACTAAAACTATTAAATATAAATAAATGCTATTTTTAGTGTAATTTATTGCAAATTATTACTTAAACCCCCCCAAAAAAGAGATAAACATGTGTAAATTATGGCTTTTTAATTAAAAATCTAATTATATTTAAAAAAAATAAAATAAAGAAAACCTTTTTAAACTTAAAATCAAACTACTTTTTACTATCACTCCTCTTAACATCAACAGATTCTAGAATAAACCAAATTTAACAGCAAGAACTTATCTGTAATTTTGACTCCCGAAATTATATTTTTATTTATCGACTCCTTTTCCACTAAATGTATGTAAACTTAATTGTAATCAAACGACATCGACATTGAATACAACAAATAAAATTGGATCAAACTCTATAATTATTTTTAACAAACTATTCATAAAGAAATAAATGAATCCTTAAAATTTACGTTTGCAAATACAAAGAGAAAAAGATGATTAATGAAATATTTATAATATACAAAAGAAACTACACCTAACAATAAATAGTTTAATTTTTCATTAGTCTATAAGTTGTAAATTATACATATTATTAATTAATTAATATTATTAAATACGAATTATATAAATATAATTTATTATTGAAATCTATTTGCGTTCGTAGACGTCAAACACATTTCAATAATGACAACAAATTACCACACACACAAAGAAAAGATAAACTAAATGAATGAATGGTAAATAAATGGAAAATTAAAAATATTAAAAACATTGTTGAATTTAATAATTGAAAAAAAAGATGGTAAGAAAAATAACATTTTACAAAATTTTGTCCTTATAGGACAGAAACATTTCATTAAATGTTTATATCCTTAACGTATTGATGTCCTTTAAAAAGGAAAAAAATCAAAATGTGGAAAACTGAGTACTCAGCTCTTCTGTATGCAATCTCTGCTTTCACGAGTGCATACATATTTGGTTTTTGTACAGTATTTATTTTTTAATATTAGAGTAATAATAAATTTTTAGCGGCTTAACTAATAATGCTATAGGAACAATATTTAATTGTGTGGTAAAAAATGCATAAGTTTTCAATATATGTATGTGTATTTCTTGGAGAAAAATATATTGAAAATTCTCAAGGATATAAAAGTATGAAATTTTCAAGGGACATTATTTTCACTTTTTCATCCTGCAAAGTAAAAATAAAATATAGTTTTGATTTCCGTAGATTATCCTCTTTCATTTGATACCCATATTGACGAAAACTAAAACTAAATAAATT